AGAATTTTCACAGGATAATGTTTAATTTCAAGTTACGCATTTACCATCATTGTTGAAATCAGAATGAAAACAAAAAAGCAAACATATCACATAAGAAAAATACAAATCAAATTGTAGCAAAAATGTCAATATTCAATCCTGCTTTCAACATTTGGGCCTTCCCTCTCTTCTTATATTATGGAAGTTTCAATTACACATTGTAAGCTTGAGTATTCAACTCAAAGGGACATGCTACATACTTAATAGTGGTAATCATAAAAGACAAGAACATGAGCTTGCCGCGTAATTATTCCCATCATCAAAGAGAAAAGGGCCACAGCTTTTTAAGGCTACCTGATTAAAATATTGGCTATAATTGTTTGTTAAGAGAAAATGGAGGTGGTGATAATCAGTCTAACAATAATATTTCAATAATTGTTCCAATCATTCAAGAGGAGAGCATCTTGAAGCATTTACTTTCGAAGAGGCCACTTTTTGATGTTTGATGGAGATGATAGCACCCTACAAATATGAATTTTAATGGGAAGATTTACATACATATCACACAATTTCTATGTATATACATGTCTAACACTTACAACCAAGTTTAGGTGTAAAATATGTAAATGCATAAGAATTGTGTGGTACAAATGTAAATGTTCCATTTTAATGATGACACCCATTGTCTGGGAGGTGAGAGCCATCAAGCACTAACCAACATAATGATAACTCCTTGAAAGGTCATCATAGTTGTAGATGGTGTACATAGCGCCATTAGGCATTAGACATAGCTCTTTGCAACAATCCAAACAGCTTTACAAAACTTTTCTTGCACGTGAGAACTAATGCCAAATAATTGATCTAGATTTTATTGGAGCACCCTTGTATTTTTAGATTTTATCATGTTCTAAAATAACAAGAAAAATTGGTAACATAAAAGCTGAGAGGAAAATAGGCAAATCTAGTAGAACCTGTTTAAAGGCAATCCAAGAGAAATTTGTCAAGACTGTCAAATAGTAATTTGATCGAGAGCTCAATGCGATTAACGGAATTTCAGGAGCTTCCAACAAGGCTATGATTTTGTAAGTAGTACCGGCAATCTACTCCATTTGGAAAAACCCAATTTTTCCATCATAGTCCTTGTAGCAACCAATAACCATTATAAAAATGACCCTCCATGATCACAATAACTTGGTATACTCTAGGACACCGGGATGAAGCAATGTTAGGAAAAGCTACATGTCGAAGATGGGAGGATAAGTCATTCCACCCTTATGAGCATTAAATGATCTCCCTAACCATTATAAAAAAACCTTAGGGAAGTTTAAGGTGTAACTTATTATGGCATTGAAACACTAGATACACTCAGGGGTGTAAACGAACTGAACTTGAGAAAGCTCAAGATTTGTTCATGTTTTGCTCGCGTTCGAAATGGCTTGTGAGTAACCTATTTGTCTTCGGCTTGATTCATACTCGTTTGTTTGAATCAAAACCCGTGTTTAGCTCAAAAATAAATAATTATTTACTATTATTAAAAATATTAGTTATTTTTATTGAGCATGGTTTGAATTTTTATTTACGCATCGTTTAAATTTTTCTATATTGAAAAGGCTTGGTTTTGACATTTAAAAAGCTTTGCTCACAACATACCTATCGAGCGTTCCTAATGTGTAACTAAAGAACGCGTGATGGTGCGAGATTACGGAGTGCAGGGTTCCATCACAGTCATTCTCGTGGTTCCAGTAGGCTGCAAATTAAGCGGTATATTATTACTAACTTATCTTAACACTTCAACCCGTGGTTCCCACAGGAAGGAAGCTGCTCAACTCTAAAAGTTGCAATATTTTGAAAATCGAACTGACCGGTTCAACCGGTTAGTAGTTCGATCACAGCATCTAATAAAGCCACTTTAGCATCAAATTGTTTCAAATCACCTCAAACCGCCAGTTCGACCAGTGAACCGTCGAGTCCAGTTTGCGAGAACCGCGTGAAATAATTTCTAGCGTGTAACTGCTTTGATTTTCCCAACCTTATAACATTACACCATATTTTCCCTAAATCTCCATTATATCAAGCATTTAGAAACAAAACAAATATAGTTGCCACTCTTTTGTCATCAGTTACGTATCTTTCCGGACCTCGGCAACCATTCTCATCGCCATAGTTCTTGTGAAACAACTCCTTCAGTAGCTGTCTCCAAACATTAGCTAAGAAATCCCTTCCTACTCTCTAAAGCCCGGCACCAATCTTCTAAACCTTCCATTATAGACTCATAATCAGAACAGCGGCCACTTGATCTTAATATTAAGCCCTCCCGACTACTTCTAGAGCTCTTTGATCTTTCACAGAACTAGTCATCAGCAAAATTGAGGCCATCAAAATTTTAAAAAAACTAACCATGGTTTTGAAAATATGCACCTTACAGATACTAGAACTAGATCAGAAATTATCAGAAACGAAAAAGCAACTTTTGTTAACACTGAATGAAGGTTTTAACATGACACAAATGGGAAAGGGAGAGACAACAACCAATCCCCAGCTAGGGCTGGGAGGGCGGCTGCAGGCGAAGGATTGACGGGGGCTGGTAAGCAATCTAGAGGGCGTGAACAGTCCCACTAATAGCTGTAATGGGGCATCCTGATGTGGGGAAGAGTCTGGAGTGGTGGACATTAAGGGCGGCTGCAGGCGAAGGGTTGACGGGGGCTGGTAAGCAATCTAGAGGGCGTGGAAAGTCCCACTAATAGCTGTAGTGGGGCAGCCTGATGTGGGGAAGAGTCTGGAGTGGTGGACATTAGGTAGGAATGCTGGGAAAGGGATTTGGCTAGCTAGGAAGTGACCTGGACAGCAGGGACTGCTGCAGTAGATGGGCGGCCTGGAGTTTGAGGATGGAGAGGAGGTGGTCAAGGACCTATGGGGATGTAGGGAACAGGCTGGGGAGAAAGATAAGGGAGGACAAAACACCAACACAGAGCGGAATACAACTGAAGCACCATCCGTTGTCGGATACAACCCTAGCAAAGGAGAAAAAACTCCAAATGAGATATTGAAACAGAGCAACAAGCAAAAAATTGAACCCTACAACAAAAAAAAAAACAATTTATACACTTTTACATAAAGAAAAAAAAAGAAATGAATAGAAAGGAAATCTCTCACACAAAACAATTTATACACTCTTACATAAAGAAGAAAAAAGAAATGAATAGAAAGGAAATCTCTCACACAAATAGAAAGGAGCGGGCAGCAATCCAAATCCATGTCTAGTTTGTTGAGGCTCCTGTTTACTACTTCTGTCTATCTATTTATTTGTGGATGAACTGTTGAACTGAATTGAAGCTTAACGCTTAGCTTTCCCCATAGTGTCCTCCAGAAATGGCTCAGGAATTTCACGTCGGAGGTGATGGTCCTGAGATTTCGTGTAACCTTACAATGCCCCTGAAGTACAACACATCGACGATATGAGACGCATCTAGTGTCCGGTGATAGGGTACGAAATGAACCATTTTGGAGAATATATCTACCACAATCATAACAGAGTCCTTGTTCGGTTGGGTCCTTGGAAGTCCCACTACGAAATCCATGTTGACGTCCATCCACGGTGCCTTTGGAATTTGAAGTTAGGTGTACAATCCTAAGTTCTGGCCTCTCGTTTTAGCTAGATGGCAAGTCCTGCATTGCTTGACATGTCGCTCAAAATCTCTTGTCAGCCGGAGCCCAAAGAAAATGCTCTCTTACGAGGGCCAAAGTTTTTCTCTGTCAAAGTGGTTTGCTAATCCTACACTATGGTTCTCCTGGATAATGACCTCTCTCAGTGAACACTTGGGAATGCACAACCGACTTTGGTGGAACAAATATCCAACTGTTTGGTAATATTGTCTCGTCGACTTTTCCTGACATTACTCCCAAATGTCCTCAAAGTCCTCATCTGCATCGTACTGATCCCTTACGACCTCAAAACCCACAGCTTGAGCCTACATGGATGAGTTTAAAAGATGTCGACGATTTGGTGCATCTACTACGCGTTTCTGACTTCCCACCTTGTGCTTAAGCATGAACTAGAATGAGGCTAGAAATTCCACCCAGGTGGTTTGTTGGCCCTTCAACTTGCTCTGACCTATTGAAGAATTTTAAGACCTCTTAACCCGTAAACAATTTGAACTCGCTCGTCAATAGGTAATGACTTCAATGCTCTAGGGCTCTCAAAATGACGTAAAATTTTTTGTCGTAAGTTGAGTATTTCCTCCTAGACTCATTCCGCTTTTCACTGAAGAAAGTGATGGAGTGTCCTCTCTGGCTCAATACTACTCTTCTCTCTATGCCGAAAGCATCACATTCTGCCTCGAAAAGTTGCTTGAAGTTT